GGGGGGGGGGGGGGGGGTGCGGGGGGCAGCAGGGGCGCCGCGGTCGCCTCCGCCCCCACCCCCTCGGTGGCCTCCGCTTCGCCTCAGCCCTTCCGCAGTCACAGCGAGCGCCGAGCCGCCACCCCGCCCGACTCCGCGGCGGTCAAGTACATTTCCCCCAAGCACCGGCTAATCAAAATAGAGAGCAATGAAGGTTGTAAGGGCGGCAGCGGCGTTCCCATCACCTGGAGCCCGCCGGGAATTGGCGGAGCCGGGCAGAAGAAGCTCAACAAGTGTGGCGAACAAGTGGAGGGCGGCGGTGGCGGTGGCGGCGTCTCCTGCGCCAAGAAGGAAAAAGTAAGTGCCCCTCTCCCTACTCCTGTATTTTTGCGGAGGAGTGAAAACGAAGAGAGCGAGCGAGCGAGCCTTTTCGTTCTCACGTTTGGTTCTCACGTGCACGATGAATTGCTGATTTTGCTACCTCTGAGGTTCCTTCCCAGGGGCATATGTAGGATTTCTTCCGACGCGCTGGATTGCAGTGCAATTGTTGGTTGATGTCTGGATGCATGGACTTTAATTATATTTGAGGATGCTAGGATTTTCGTATTTTGCTTACACTAGTGGCTAATTTACACTTGCCTGATCTTCACTTTCAGACTGTAACATCTCCCGGCTGAAGTGTTTATAATGCAGCCCTTTATGACTAGTGTTTGGATGAGCAAACCGCTGTTCAGAAGCATTATTTTTAAGGTGGTATGAAAGTTTATTCTGTGTCATTAAATCTTCTCAGGCTTGTTTGATCTCCCTTTTCCCATCATTACATTGTTGGCATATTTGTGTGAGAGCCAGTTTGGTGTAGTGGCTAAGGCACCAGTTAGAAACCGGGAGACGGTGAGTTCTAGTCCCACCTTGGGCACAAAGCCAGCTGGGTGACCTTGGGCCAGTCCCCCTCTCTCAGCCCTAGGAAGCAGGCAATGGCAAACTACTTCTGAAATTCTTGCCAAGAAAACTGCAGGGTCTTGTCCAGGCAGCCTCCAGGAGACAACACTGACTCAAAGGGACCCCACAAAAAAAAAAAAATCAAAAAAAATTGTGTGAATCATCCTGTGCATCCGACTTTCAGGTTTAACCCAAACTACAGCATGCATATTTGGTCTGGTAGGCAGTATGCTGGGAAATAGTGATACGGTTCAGCAGACTGGATGGAAAAGACAGATGGAGAATAAGGCTGAGGACGGGAGTGAGTGTGAACTGGTTAGGGCCAGCTATTGCAACACTGGTAGTTGCTTGAACCAACTGTGTCTCCTGCATGCAAAACGAGCCTATAACAGTCCTTTCTTGGTGGAGGTGTGGATTCCTGAAAAGTGTTTGTGTGGGTGTGTATGTTTGGACTTAGCCCTTATTGCATTCAAGGAGTGGAGTGCATGATGCTATGTATGTGCTTATCCCATGGTATTCACACACACACACACACACACGTTGCCTAAGTTATGTCAAGAGACGGTGACTTTTCCAAGGGCATCCTCTGAGCTTCATGGCTGAATCACGGTGTGAACCCTGGCCTTCCGAAGCAAATCTCTGCTATGCTGGGCCTACTTCTGTCTAGAGATAAATACATGCAGGGTGTGTGTGTGTGAACTTTGCCAGCTTACAGGTGTTGGACAGAGGTTTGTGCTTCTCTTACAAAGCCTGAATAAGAACCAATTCTTAACGGAGACCCACTGATTAAGCCAAATTTTGTGCCCCCACATATCCTCCTTTAGTATGCATTACACAGTTACCTGAACTAATAATTGTTAAATGTTAATATAGGTCTATTGAAGAAGTCCTCTTTCTGATGTAGATGCTACCTTCATTTGTTCCTCACAGGAGAGAATACTTTCAAGTATTTCTTTTTCTCTGCTGGGGAAACAGTTAACAACAGAGCTTCTGAGAGGCAGGTACCGAAGTGAACTCTTGAACCAAACTCCAAATATTTTAGACTCACAACTCCTTCCCTTTTTTTTGATGGACGCACTCTGTGTTGCTGTATCTGTCTTTAGACATGCCAGTTATGATTGGTTAGACTTGGATTTGGAACTTTCTATCCATTCTCATATCCCATGAGATGCTGGATTCTAATGTTCCTATTTGAAACCTTAAAAGTGGGCACCATTCAAATTTTTAGACTTTTCTGTTATACAAGAACAAATTGCTTGGTGACTCAGCTGCTTTATATCTGGCCAACTGAGAGTCCACATGACTTGCTGCAATTGTGGCAAGAGTATGCAACAGATAGTGGTTGTATTTTCAGATCTCTAAAAGAGAAAAGATGCTTTAATCCCTCAGATAAAGCACTAGGGAAACAGGGTTTGTTTATACTGCAATAACCTGAGTCATATGCAAAATAGTTCTAACTGCTTGAGTCAGTATAGATGCTACGTTAAGGGATTTTCTTTTTTTAAGGAGTAAACATCCAAGCATTTTCAGAGTCAATCTGCTGTTGCATGGTTTTTAATTTTTATATAAAATGTTTGTGTCAGCAGTTTGTCGGAAAGGTAAAAACATGTTTTAATCCATGCGGGTTTTAATTTTAACTCTTATATGTAATACATTATACTGTCGACAAATATTTTAGAATTAGCAGTTTGTTCAGGTGGAATGTTCATCTGTTCCCAGGTTTTTGACATTCTTCAGATTCGACATTTTTGAGAAATGCTTGTGTTCCAACAGGGGGAGATTCATGGCCTATCAGATGCTTTTGGAGCAGATCATCTTGTAGATAATTCTGAAGTTAAAACAGATTTCATCACTGCTTGACCAAGATCCAAAGAGCAGTTTTAAGCCATGGCTTCTGCATATCCATTCTTTTACAACATTTATTTCTTCAAAAACAGATATTCTGCCTTCAGGGGAACACTTTCCACATAGGCCTAAATGGAGAGATGTTGCTGCTGCATGTCTGCTGTGGGTTACTGGAGTGCTGCCCTGAGGATTTTGGAGAAGGTTCTTTGACTTGTGCTCCATTCTTTCCAGCTGCTGGCCAACCTGTTGAGCAAGAGAAGACCTCATATTGGGCCCTCTTGTGATTTTTCTTAAGGGGCACTCTAACAAGGATAAATATAGTTTTATTTTTAATTTAATAATTAAGTTAATTTTAATTTGGTGAGAATATAGAAAATTAGAACAAAATTCCTTTTTAAATTAATTTTATTAAAAGTTTTTACATAGCTAAAAGACAAATACAGAAGTATATAAAGAAAAGAGAGAAAAGAGAAAAGAATACAGTTAAAGAAAGAAAAAGATAGTTAAAGAAGTGACTTTGCCCTTCTTTACAGCAATTACAAATTCATTATCCCTCCTCCCTCCTTAA